ATACAGTTCATACAATATTGCTGTTTGCACAAAGAACTGCATCGTTAACACTTAAATACTACTACAAAATATTTGCAAATTAGAAAGTTCTTATTCAAGATGATTTAGGAATGAGCATTAAGTAAAAATGACTTCCTTACTCTCTCCAAAATCATGAGTAGCCTGTTTAAAAAATGGACTGTTAAAATATGACAAAATTATTTAGCTATTGACTCATAAAAACTGTAGTTTCTTGCAACAGAGAACACATAGGTATGCTTGAACTGAGTTGTTTTAATTGTACTACTGTCGGCAAACTGCTGTGTCAGGAAAGCGTGCTGTTTCCATGACAGCTGGTGGGTAGCCCTCTGGTGTCAAAGGCTGGTTACTGAAGCCGTACTCTACAGCGAATCCTAATTTGGGGGGAGCCAGAGCGGGTGTGCGTGGTCTACCCACTAGGGGGCAGCACGCTTACCAGAGGCACTGCTCAGAGTCCCCCGACCATCCTCTGCTTCTCTCCCTACTTGGGGCTCACAGTTCCTAGCACTCACTGCGCCTTCTGCTATGGCTGCCTCTCTGGAAAGCTAGTGGAGAGCTTTTAGGGAAAAAGAAAAAGGACATCATTTAAATTTCCTCATAACCGCTCTCTGACCACTAACAAGGAAACCGAGAAGGAAAAGAGATGAAAGCAGCAGAGAAATGGAAGGAAGAGCACAGGGAAGAGAAAAACAGCTACACGGACAGGAGGCTGTCCTAACTTTTTTTTTTTTTTTTTTTTTTTTTGAGACATGGTGTTATGTGGTTCAGGCTGGTTTTGAACTCACAGCAATTCTCTCACCTCAGCCTCTTGAGGGCTGGGATTACATGTGTGCACCACCACTTCATTTCAATTATACTCCTTTCATGACCAACCAAAAAAAGCTCCAGATCTTCACCCATTTAGGACTGTCTAGCTCCTCTCTGCAGCACCCAATCTAGTGTCCAAAACCCCAATTTCATTCCTGTGTTTAACCCAGTTGTTCCTAAGGAGGACCAGGCTACAGAAGCCAAGAGCTAGGAACTGGGGGAGACCTTAAAAATGTCAGAATCGAGGTCCTGCTGAAGAAACTACAAAAGCTCTTAACAAACTCTGAACACAATTTTTTTTTGGTGTGAGAGAGATTTTCCTCAATGTGGCTAGGCTTTGGTCTTCAAACAGCCTTTTATGGCTTGGTCTGGGACTCTAACCACCAGGGGTGCTATTAAAAAACTCTTAACCAAGAGGATACAGGAACCAAAATAATTTATGTCCTTTCTGTGCCTTACAACTGAATACCATCAGATGGTCTGGCTACAGTAAGTGCCTATGGAAACCTGTTATTCCAGTTTCCAACAAATGCCTTACATTTGGCTTTCTGGAACCTTCTACAGTTCCTAATCTTGAAACGCTTGCTCAGCAGGGCCAGAGTTCTTAACCGACATTCAACTTGCCCTGTTCCAAGAAGGAAGTTTTTCAAGATTTTTCCCTTTCCTTCATAAAATGAACACCAGCAAGATGGCATTGTCAAAGGACAGCAACAGGACCCTTCACTCTTCAGGGCAAGAGGCATCTGAAAACCTGCAACTTCCTGGCAGGTACATTTTGTTAGGCAGAGGGAAAAGCTAGTAAACATTAAATCCACTCAGCAGATATATTTTAGGATGAACTGGAAAGCTTTAATTATCCATAACCAAAATTTTCTGATATTTCGTGAAAGTCAGAGGAATGAGAGAAAAGTCACTGACATACTATGTTTGAATTTATTTTATACACAGAACCTGAATGAGGTACATAAAATACATAGGTAAGGTTACTGGAGAGTCACAGGGGTCTACTTGGGGTTCTGTTATTTTATTTTATTTACTTTTTGTTTTGTTTTTTTGAGATAGGGTCTCACTATGTAGTTGAGACTACCCTGGAACTCACTATGTAGCCCAGGCTGGTCTCGAACGCACAGCACGATTCTCCTGCCTCAGCCTCCCGAGTGCTGGGATCACAGGTGTGCGTCACCATGCTGGGCGGGGTTCTGCTATTTTAAAAATTCACAAAAGTGACAAATAAATCTGGGCTAGCCTTAAAAAAGTAGCTTTTGAACAGTTCGCTGAGTCTGTTAGAACAAATTCTACCATATAACTAGTAGAGCTATTATTTTTAAACCACTTCAATACAAGACTTGTCTTCACAGGTGCTGATATCAAGAAACCAACTACACTGCTCAGGCTATAGGGACTGAGTGTTTAATATGCAACAATAACAATTCCTGACATGGCATTTTCATCCTTTATTTATTGTAAGTGAAATTACCTCTGGAGCAACTCAGAGACTACCCTTTGGTTCTGCTTCTCCTACCAGGGATAGGGAGTAACAGAATATAAATCAATGAAGTCTTTTTTGGGATGGCTATGGTATCTGGCATGGGGAAGAGGGAAAGGTGCATTGTACCGTCTTAGATTACTCTGACTTATTGGGGCACCGAGAGTAACTGCTGCAATTAAGAATTCAGCAGTGCATGCGCACTTGGTATGACATGTATAAAATGTGACCAGAGCCTTTTCCTTTTTTAGATTTTAGAATCCACTTTACAATTTGTGGTTATATAAAACTGATGATTCAATTCATAAATCCAGGCAACCAATAATACCTAAAAAAACAACAGACCTGGTAATCTAAAATAGATTGTTGGCAGTAACAAGACTAAAAGCTGGAAATGTCTGAGCTTGATCAAATATTCCATTAAAATGTCAAAATTATCATGAATTATTTTTATATAACTTAACCATGACTACTGGTATAAAATATAAGTTCAAAAGTAATTTCATTTCTATTAATTGCAACTATCAGGAGCCATAAACACTTAAAGAAAATCTATGTAAAAAGAGATTCTTTTTTCATGCCTGTAATCCCAGTACTCTGGGAGGCTGAGGCAGGAGGATCACAAATTAGTCAAGTGGGAAGGCCCTGGGGTCAATCCTCAGGACTGAAAACAAAAAATAAATAAACAAATATATTTAAAAAGGTAGTTTCTTTAGGTAACTTTGTGCTTATACACAGTTAGACATATCTGAGTTTTTGGGCAAAATCTCTACCATGTTTTCACATATTATACTATCTAATTATCTAAAAGTGGCCCAGTTTTTGCTCCCAGGAGCAGTCTTACTTCAATGCGAAATATCATGCAAACCAACTAATTTTGTAACCCTTCTCATTATTGGAAAATTTGAAAACTGAAATAATGTGGCTGCTTCGGGATCTAATATAACAAAAGGGTGAATTACTGGAAAGCCCAGCAGACGGAGAGAACAGAACAGCGACTGTGGGACTCTGCAGCCCAGCGCAGTACAACAGCAAAGGTTCAGCCGACTACCTCCGCAGGAGCGCCCTGAGCAGGAACCCAGAGGGAGTAGGTCGGCAGGAAATGGGCAGCCGGCCTCGGCCTCAGCCGGAGGAGGGCGAGGAGGCGGCCTCAGCAAGGGCGCTGCTCCCTGACACGCGCCCGGCCGCCTGTACCCGGTGGTCTCTGGGCAGCGGCACTGCTCACTTCACCCAAGTCAGTTACACATCACAGCAAACTCGCCCATTATTTCCAGATGTCTAGGTAGCTTCAGGTTTGCATCTATATTGATTTTTTAAATGCAATTTCTGCAATACTCTACTTTTTTTTCAGTAGAATACCTTTACCTCTAGCTTTAAATACAAAGGAATTTTAAACTTCCTGTTAATTTTTCTGTTAATTACATAACTTGTCTTTATTGGACTACTTTCAAAGTAAATATTATACGGCTGGGGATTTAGCTCAGTGGTTCCAGGGCCTGCCTCACCAGCGCAAGGACCCAAGTTTGATCCCCGGTACAAAGTAAATATGATATAACGGCTGAATTTCAATAGTATTCATCCTAGGACATATGAAATGTTGATGTCTAAAGCAGTCCAATGGGCAAAATCACGATGAAAACATTTTAATGCAAATTAAGAGAATTAAAAAAAAATTTAAATTATTTACTCTCCCCTCTTCTTTTCAAGTACAGTTAATTGAGTACAGGGAATGCTGAGCTACATTCCCAGCCATTTTTACTTTTTTTGCAGATAGGGTAGCATTAAGTTGCCCAGGCTAGCCTTGAACTTGCAATCCTCCTGCATCAGCCTCCTGAGTAGTTGGGATTACTCTCTTTTGCAACCACATCTGGCTGATTTAACACCTTTCAAGGGTTATCCTAGTGCAAAACCACTCTTTAAATAGAGCTAATTTATAAAGCTGTGCATTACTGTTTTGCTTCAAAAAAGGCAAATATAAACAGGTGTTTGTTTTATAGCATTTTCCATTGCTATGGGACCCCTTTATTTGATAAAATATTCAAGGCTGGGCATTTAAGAACAAGCTAGAATAAGTTTTAGTTTAACTTATATAAAAAAGGAATGTAAGGGCCGGGGATTTAGCTCAGTGGTTCTGCTGCCTGCCTCGCAAGCGCAAGGACCCGAGTTTGATCCCTGGTACCAAAAAAAAAAAAAAGCATGTAAGAGAAGAAATTACGTTTAGTAACAAGGAGTTTCATTAAATATTACCAGTGAGTTCCCATACACTAAGCCAGTGCTTGTCCACTGCCACCTTCGTGTGGGAACACCCCGAGCAGCAGGGCACAAGGACAGGCAGCCCGAGACATGTCCAGGCTGTGCTCACCCCGGGGACACACAGCACATTCCTCTCTCCTGCCTGCTTCTGGGCCAAGTCGCCCTCTCTGACACAGCCTCAAGGAGCAGGCATTTCCTTGGGTAAGGAGGAGGAAACAGAACGGAGACCCTCTGCATTTCTATCCCCCTGCCCTCCATGTCTGTCCTGTCCCGTTTGTTGTGCTATTCCTGAGCCCTCTTGCCTGGGGTTTCTTATTCTGCCTCTTGTAGCAGTTACGCTACTAAATAAAGAGACTAAAATATCTAAGTAGACTGAAAAGCTATGCTGCACGCAAGTTCTTTAGATATTAGAGCGAGAAAATTCTACGACTCCCACCTGGTGATCCAAATATATGGTGTTCCTTTGAAGATGATGGGAAAGCATTTCATTCTAGTAGGCACCAATCAAGGAAAAAGGACAGAGAAACAGGATGCAGAATTCATAAAAAGGTCAATTTTGAAATAAGAAAAACAGTAGCTTACTACAATGTATTATATCACAGTACACAGTAACTAACTTTCACACACATGCTCCCTTGTCAATGGTGCGGATGACAAAAAAAGTGTTATGAAATTATACTTAGTTTTGTAAGAAATTAAGTAGACAGGTAGATGGAACCGCTAAGCAGAAAAGTTCTTCAACTGACTTTAGCAGACTGAACGTTAGGAGCTTTCCATGCTACTCTGTTCTGTGAGACAGTCCTTCTCTCAGTAATGTTTCTCATATGACCAGCGGCTATTACACCCTTTGAGAAAGGTTTGTATTTGTTCATTTTTCATCAAAAACAAGATTTATCTTAAAATTAATCTCTGCCATTCAAAAGGCAGCATTACGAATGACTTTTCAACATTACTTTACTGCAAACTGTAGGGCTTTGCAGTATCTGCCCTAACAGATGTGGAAGTCACAGTATTAACACTATTTTGAAATCCCGTGTGGATTTCCTCATTCAAGACCAAATGTCGGTGGACTGAGTGGAAGGTTTTGAAGAAATGCACCCTATGTGCATTTTCCTGTAATATATAAGTTGAATTCGCAAAGGGTCAATAGGAGGTCACAATGTTGTCACTGCAAAGATGGTTTACAGCACTGATCACACTGATTAATGAGTGGTAATGGCGGACGACACAGACAGAAGTCTTCATAGCTGACCTTCGGGCTGTGGGCCTCAAGTTTGATCTGCATGAGCTGTGCTAACGTATGCTCCCGGATACTACTCAGTTCAGCTTGCTGCCGTCTCAGCTTTATTAGCAGCAGCGTAAGCTCCTCTGGCTGAAGGAGTACAATTTAAGAATCCAAACAGTGGAAAACAGATTAATTGTTGTCTTAAGTGACAGATATTAAACCAAGATTTCTTGGCAAGTTTCCTCTTATGGTTGACATCAAACACAGTGCCTAGACACTATGATGATAGGTCCTACATAAATGCATAGATATCTAGAGAAACAGAAGGAACAGTGTTACTTTACACAAAACAACAGCAAAGCAAGGCATTTTCTCAGAACTCATGAAAGATTATTCAAATGTTAAGTATAAAAAAGCATAATAGTATTACAAAAGTTTACACATATAAGTTATTAAGATCTTAACAGGTATTTTTTCAAGGTGCTTAAAAAATTATACCTAAGACTTTTCCAGCAATAGAACACCTGCATGTCCAACACACTATTTTAGAGAACAGAAGGCAAGTAAGAATTAAGATTCATGTACAACTGGAATATTTTCACATTATAAAACCCAGTACCAGGGACTATCAGTTACTTTCCAGTTATGTTTTGCAATTTCACCGCCAATGCATTCACAGCCTTTTTATGAGCAAAATGGCAATTTTATTTTGTAAGGAAAAAAAAAAAAAAGAGTTTCTAGGGGCGCATAACCCTTCCTTGCACATTCTGGAAAAGGCAGAGAGCTTTTTGATTCCTGACTGATTCTTATGGTCTCTAAGGAGAAAAAATTTTCAACAGTGGATAAAATTCCTTAACAGGCTAATCTGATATATTTCTCCTTGTCAGAAATGCAGTAAAGTATGCACACCGACAGTCTTACAGCCCATAAAGTATTACTCAATGCTTTTCTGAGCTCTGTTGTGATTGAAATCTGATTGTCGAGCTGCAATCTACTCCTCAAAATTCCAGGCCCAAAACTGCTCCTGAGATTGGTTTGCTATGCTTACATCCAGCATTCTTCTGCTCTGTTGCTACTGCTCTTTATTTTCTATATAAGTCTATAAACCATTTTTACTGTTACCAGAAGTCATATTAAAAATTACTGCCTTCAGACAGGAAGTGTCCGTAAAAATAAAATACAGCTACTATTGGATTCCTTACACCATACTTGCTGTCTATAGAGGTAAGATGACAAATTGTCTCTTATATGAAATGTTCAAAACATGTTTAGTGTGTGTGTGAGACCCAAAGAATCTCCATAAATGGGAAAAGAAAGCCCTCTTGCTGAGAGCCAACATTGTCCTGTCCTGCCACCTCACTCCGGGCAGCCTTGTCTCAAGGCTGCCAAACCCTCCGCTCCACTCCAGGGGGCTTGCAGGGCAGGGGTCAGGACCGGGATTCAGACTCGCTAAGACCCAGCGCTATGGATGATAGAAATACCCAAGGAAGAAATCCTGCAACTCTGGTTCATTACATATGGAGCTAAGAATAAAGCAACTCCCAAAAGGATGAAAGATGCCAGTAAGTTTGTTATGCATTTAAATTTTGAGGCCAAATAAAGAGATTCATGTCTGACTACAGAAAAAGTAGGTGGTAAATAAACCGAGTCCTAAATATCCACTAGAGGGAGCAAGGTCAGAAGAGAAAAAAACATCATATGACATTGAACACTTACTTTATGTCCAACAGCTCAATGCTTATAAATTACAAACTTAAAATTTAATCAAACAATATTCGTTGTCTTTAATATAAAATTGCAAGTAGCTTAGAGCCAGGAACAATTTCCTTAATATCTAAGCATGTAAAAGGTGAAACAAAACCATGTTTATAAAACTAGATGAATTTGTTTTGATTACTGCAGGAAGATAATTTTAAATAATGAGCAAGTATATGTTGCTAAAATCTTGCCTTCACAAAAAATTCAGTCTGTCAATAGTAAAATCAGTTCCCTTGATGAAAGAATGCTTTCAATATGAACTGAAATTCTGAAGTCATCTTTTCTTTTTGACTTAAAGAACAGCAGTGTCCTGCTATTAAAATTTCATCCCAATTGAATATAATACTGCAATAAAATGGTAAATGGCAAATATTTTCTTTTAGCCAGGATTTTACAGCTTTGCTTTCTCTGTATAAATATGTAAGTCAGTTCATTTTGGTTCTATAGTATTTAACTCATATAAACATTCACAAGACAAAATTGTTAGTGTCTCTGTAGTTTGACTTACAAATAGTTGTTTGCTGGGTTTTCCCCAATAATATCATTAGTCTAATATCTGTTTTAAGCATACAGTGATTATAAGTCAAAGAAACCCAGTTAAGTTGTACAATAAATTTTGAAATTAAAATCTTTTATTTAGACATTCAGGGAAAGGTAACTACTAAGACACTAAAAGGGCAACATGATTCCAAATTCTTCCAATGTGAAATCTCTTCCACAAAGAAGCAATAGTTTTTCTTTGGGAGACGTCTCTAACAATTCAAACCTAAAAGCCATGTCAGACACTCGCCAAACAATACGATAACCAGTGATTCCACACTCACCGTTTTGCCTTGGAGGCTCTGGGGACTAACAGACTGTAAAGTCAGGCCGGCTGGCACGGACCTTCTGTCAGGCACACGGACATGCTGGGAAAGTAAAAGCACAATGTCATTCTGTATGGCTTTTTCCTTCCTTTTCATCAGTGACAGTGATCAGAAATCCTAAGATTCATGGTATGAAACACCAATTAAAAATTACCATTAGTGCTACTTAGACTCTAGCATTTCTTTCTTCTTTTTTGGTAATGGAGATCGAACTCGGGCCCTTGCGCTTGCAAAGCAGGTGGCGGAACCACTGCACCAAATCCCCAGCCCAACATTAGTATCTCTTGTTTGACTAAAACAAAGATGCTGATATGCAGAGTAACTGTGTGTAGTGTGGTTCAGTGATTCTCAAACGTTTTGATATCAAGACCCCTTTATAGTCTTAAAAAAGAAAATTCAGTTACAGGATTGTACTTGTTTATAGTTTTACAAGTCTTAATATTTGGCTGGAGTCTCATAACTGCTTCTGTACTGAATTTGTTGTGGTGATCTCTCTCTCTCTCTCTTTTTTTTTTTTTTTGAGACAGGATCTTGCTGTGTAGTTCATGCTGGCCTTGAACTCACTATGTAGCTCAGGCTGGCCTTGAACTTGCAGTAATTTTCCACCTTAGCCTCTAGATTGCTGGGATTACAGGTGTGGGCCACCAGGAAAGGGAAAACTTCAACAGTTTTTTTTTGTTTTGTTTTTTTGAGACAAGGTCTCACTATATAGTTGAGACTGACCTGGAACTCACTATGTAGCTCAGGCTGGTCTCGAACTCACAGCAATCCTCCTGCCTCAGCCTCCCGAATGCTAAGATTATAGGCATGCGCCACCACACCTGGCCAGCTTTTTTGGATAACTGTAGACATTCATCTTTTGGTAACTGCAGACACTCAACCTTTTTTTATTTGACAGGGCCTCACTACTTTCTAAGTAGCTCAGGCTGGCCTGGAACTTGTGATCCCGTCTCAACCTCCTGTGTGCTGAAGCATTCATCACTAATATTACATAAAAGTTCAAAATGTGGCAATTTGTTGCAAAGTGGTATCCGGATCCATGCCAATGATCTCTTCGCATTCACCGATCTATCTGCACTTTAATCTTCTGCCCACCTGCGCATGACTTGGTCACATGAAACACTGGTCATCCAGACAGTTCTGGGAGTTAGTCAACGTTTCAGTGTCACCACATCTCAGTGAACTATACCAAAACAACAGGCTTGTTACGGCCAGCTGTTTTCTTTGAAGTGATGATAGGCTTATGTTTGCTTTGAGAAAGAATACTGTCAAATACTGTGTTAATAACCAGTCTTTCGTGCCTCCCAGTAAATACAGTGTTCCACACAAAAGGGACTAGCTCAGTATGTGACTTGAACATCACACTTTCTTGGGACAACCATGGATACTTTTGGTGTGCAATAGACACGCTTCATACGCACCCACATTTCATGAAACGTAATATGAGAATGGTTTGTAATTGAAGGCCAAGATTCAGCAGTTATTTCTCACTACTTCACAAAAGCGAAGCTGCCTTTTCCTTTCTTTTTCACCCCAAGTGCGTGGCACAGAAGTATACAATGCCCTCTAGTATAGTCTGGAGCTGTGGCCTTCATTTCTGATCAAGTGCCAGTAGTTTTATGAACTCACCACCGTGCGTGTACTATGAGAGCAAATGTTATACAATAAATAACACTTATTACAAAATTAGTTTTGAGTTAGAGGGGTCAGGACGGTCTCCCTCAGGGATTCATGGACTATATTGAGAATGACTGTCATAGATAAAGGAAGATGAAAATACAGCATAAAGAAAAATTTTGCAAAGCTGAAGTTCCTTGGGAAGAATGGCAGTAGTGTTTAGTTGTCTAAATACATATTCACCTCATATTTGTTATTCAAGTGGGTGACATATTCTAGGCATGAAAAATACCGTCATTACAGTATGTACTTCTAGTCACTTTGTTTTCTTTTGACTTAGAGTCTCACTATGTACCCCATGCTGGCCTTAAACTAGATGCAATCCTCCTGCCTTGGCCTCCTGAATGCTGGATTGGAGGTGCGTGCCACCATGCTCGGCTGCAGTCACTTTTAAATCACATATTAAGTTGTATTAAATCACAGTTTTCTTGTTCACTTATTTTATCAACCACAATTTAGGATGTACAAAGTGATAAAGTACAGAAGTCTGTTACAATGGAGTTCAAACTGAAACTTTGGTCAGCCAGGCAAACTAAAGCTTTCTTCGAAAGAAAATTCCTGATATACTAATCTCCACCATATGCTTTTTTATGGAATTATCAAGCAAATGATGTGCACAATCATGCAGCTAAAGACTCAGCCTGTCACAAAGATAAGAAGGTGCACTCAAAAATGGTGGGAATTACAGCAAGAAATTCTTTAGGGTTAAAAAGAAAATGACATTACTATTACTTTACTAAACAAAACAATTGCTTTAGCATTATGCAAAGGTAATCAGTACAAAGCATTAAAGTCAAATAATCTACTAAGCAACTAACAAGGTAAAAATGAAAACTCAGTTGGTGGAGCTGAAGATGCAGCTCAGTGTGGTGTATTGTGCCTGGCATGTGCGAGAACCCAGGTTTGATCCCCAGTACTCTGAACTATGATCTTCATTCACCATATCTGTACTTAATTAAAAATCTTGCTATGTTGCCAAGGTTGTTTTTTTTTTTTGTATTGGGGATCGAACTCAGGACCTTGCACTTGGAAGGCAAGGGGCAGAACCACTGAGCTAAATCCCGGGCCCTATTAAGGTGGTTTTGAATTCCTAAACTCAACTGGTGTCTGGCTTTAGTCTCCCAAAGGCTGGGCCTGCAGGTGCATTGGATTCTACCTTAGTTTTTATATCTACACATACTGTTAGGTACTGCTGGATGCTGACAGTGAGCTGGGTACATAAGGAGATCTCAATATGCCCTGTAGTCACCAGTTTAGAAGAAGTTAACACTTTTACCCCGGTAAACAACAGGATGAGCTTGAAATAAGACTGCAGATAAGCTGGAAAAGGGCAGCTGTGATCTACGTGGTCTTAACCTGCAAGGAGAGCTGTTGAGCTACGCTATCCCACAGAAGAGAATATATCACGCAGCTGCTCAAAATAACTACTTCTGTGCTCCTGAGACATGAAGCACCCAAAATATAGGGTTTATTTATGAGACCTTAATAGCACACATTTTTAAAATTTTTAAAACAAAACAACACAAAAGAGTAGCCTCGGTCTCCTTCCCGCTCCGTTGCCCGGCCCACGTCTGGGAGAGCACAGGCCTTACCTTGGGGTGGGGAGCCCGGTGCCTGCGGTCTATGGTCACGTCCCCTCTCTGAGTGGGAGACGTCACGTCGGCTCTGTACGTCCGCTGCGGGGAGTAGCCCTGGTAGGCGGCGATGGAGCCATGTGAGGGCGACGCGGGGATGGAGTGCATCTGGTCGGAGAGGTTACCCATGGTCTTAGGACTGCTCAGCGAGCTGTGTCGCGGGAGGGTGCTCTGCTTGTGGTAAAACTGCCGCTGCTGCCACTCGTAGAGCTGCCACATGGTGTCGTCCCGCATGGACCTCCGCTTCTCCTCGGCCGCAGGTGCCCCGATCTGGTCCCGGCTGGGAGGCGCCGCCCCGCAGATGCTTTCGGGCCTGGTCTTGCTGTTCCGGGGGAGGGTCCTGTAGCCTTCTGGGTAGCGGGCCACCACCTGGGCTCGGTGGCTCGGCATATTTCTCGGCAATGTTTGGTAAGAAATCACTCTAAAAAATTAAAAATTGCAGTGTAGAAATGAGGGAGAGTTGTTCCGGAATTCTAAATCACAGCACATTTCTTTTCTTTTGGTAAATAAAAGATGTATCAGAATGTATTTTTAAAACATATAGTTGAGTGGTAGAGTGATTAACTAGGATGTGCAAGACCCTGATTTTGATCCTCAGCATTAGGGGAAAAAAAGACAAAAAAAAAAGTACGAGCCACTAGTCATTAACCAATTTAAATATTATGATTCTCAATTTGATGAACTTAATAAATCAAATGAATAGTGTCAATGGCAGTTACATAAAAGACTGTTCCACAGAATTTAGTGTGGCTTACAAAGAAAGTGTTTATTATATTTTATTTGCACAATAAGAATGTCCAAGAGCGATTCGCCGCCTGCCTCGCAAGCAAGCGCAAGGACTCAAGTCTGATCCTGGGTACCCCTCACCCCTAAACGACTCCCAGAGCTAATCACAAATCTGCATCTACACTCGATTTGCTTTTATGAAAATAAACTGCTAGAACCTCACTTCCATACATCTCAGCATCCCATGCATCTGGGATTGCTGTGTACGGATGGATGTGGGCGTGCTGCGACCGCAGAGTGTGCTGACTGCCCTGTTGTCTGTTCTCTTCCACAAAGCATGGCTGCGTATGGGAGGAAGTGCATCACTGCTGCATCTGTGGCTTGAAGAAACAGTATCTTCCTAACTTTTCCTGACTTGAAAACAAAAGACCCGAAGCTAAAGCTCGAGATCTTCTTAAGACAAAGCACTTGCCATGACAATAGTTCAGACATACAACCACAACCTCAGAATTAAGCAGCTTTTCCATTACAGTGGTTACTATTCCACCTCTTGATGGTATTGATATCTTGAGTGGAGCTTTAAAAATTCTCCATATACATTATACATGTAACACATAATCTCCCTAAAATGCAAACTTTTGGAATTAAATACATAGTCACGTAGTACTAAGCAGAGGACATTATAATTTCCTAAATGAAAGAATAAAATTTCAGTTTAATATTAAAAAAATATTGATTGGTTGAGACAGGACTTTGTTACGCAGTTCAGGTTGGCCTTGAACTCAGTGATCCTTCTTAAAATCACATTTTAAAATATACTCTTGAATTTATCAGAACTATCTCAGTGCTAACTTCATGCTAGGTCAAATATGTTACATTGAAAATATTTTTTTTTTTGTACCGAGGATTGAACTCGGGACCTTGCGCTTGTGAGGCAGGCGGCAGAACCACTGAGCTAAATCCCTGGCCCTGGTAAGATTTTTGTAAGTAAATTAAAAATACCATGAAAAGTTAGCATTTGTTTTTTTCCCCATTATTTTAAAAAACAAGTATAGCTACAATTCAAATTCTAAATTTAAGCAGGCTGTTTATAACTACCCCAGTACAAATCTAAATGAAACAGAGCAGGATTAAATTATAAGTATTCATTATATGCTACTATATCTAGGAACATAATTTTATATTTCAATGAACAAAATCTGAAGGAAAATTGGGGTCCTATGAGTCCTACTTTGCTAATCTCTTCTTTCAATGATTTGGTAACTCTCTCCTATTTAGTATATATTCACAACAGAGATCACTGTGCACACCCAGCTGCATAAGCCTCCTGATAAACATGGTAGTGTTGCTGATTTTATGGGACTGGGGGTGCTGGTGGTAAAAAAGTCAATGTGTAAATTACTAAACCAGGCTTTGAATCAGCTGGGAATGCCTGGCTGGTCATCTGGGGACCAGAACTCTCTTTTCACTGACTCCTTATTTTATACTCAAAGTATTATTTCCAAGCCCTTCAACCATCTCTCTCACACCAAATTCCCTTCAGTGTCATGGTTGTTCTTCAAATATTTCAATGTCTGTACTCAAAAATAAGCTCACTGAAACAGAACAAAATGCCCCTAGACAAGAACCACTGCACAAGCATCTGGTGACGGTGGGGTGATGTAAGAGAGAAAAGTTCCCAATCCTCTTATATAACCCGCATAAAAGGTTTAGTTCTTTCCGGCTTTCTACGATAACACGAAAGCCAGAAATACAAGAAGTCCAGGGCTGGCAGTGCCACGACTCCCAGATTGCAGAGTATGTTAGCAGGGGAAGCCGATTCCATCCAGGAGAGCCTGCCTGAGTACTGCAGCAATATACTCCGGCAGCCTGTGTGTGCTTGGCCATTGATAAATTCAAGAATTACCATAAAACCTTAACATACAAATGGTTCTAAATTCATAAAAGTTAGGGACATACATCATGAATATAAAACACATGAAAAACTGCCTTTAACTAACATGTAAGTTAGGGTTCAGAAAATCTAACCACTCCAAACAGCTGTCAGAGTTCTGATCAATCACGACGTGTGAACCCTGCTGCAGACCTGTGTATTAAACCTGCGCTTTCAGCCCACCGTCCAATCATAAACAGCGGGCTATTTTTCTAGTTAGCTTGGTTAATTAATGACTACCATGTTTAAAAGGTTCTTTCCATGACTAGGTTATCATCCGGTAAATTCATTTTTGTCGTGCGTACGTTTTAGCATTTGGAGACTCGTTTTTTTAAAAAACTAAAACTTTCCCTCAGTGATTTTCCCCCGAAGAAATTCAAATTAAGCAAAGTGTGATTCACTTTTAAGTGAAAGCTTAAGAAGTGAGCACTGTGAGCTCACTCGTCGGGGTTAAGGCCCATTCACCAGCAGCTGCCTGTCACACACCGTGAAAGCCCACCCAGGGATTCCACAGACTCCCCGGCAGAACAATGGTCACTGCAGGCACCATGCACCCTAACAGTGCCTGCTACTCACGCAGAAGCCTTAAAGCTTTGTTCACAGGTGCAGATCTACCACTGGACTAAATACTGACATCTTTTCTACCTGGACTTTAATAAAAGAAAGCCTTTTCCCAAGTGTTTTAAAAAATGAATCATACCATGAATTACAATTATGCGTCTACCATGAAAAAGTATGACTATTTTTTATGGTGAGATTTATTTAACGATACAGATGATATTTTTAAAAGATCCCAAATGCTAGCCATTTCAAAGAGTATCTAACAGTACCTATAGAAACTAGTGTCATTGTGAACCCCAAAACGGAGAAACCCAGATAAAATATCAGTTCATTAAAAACTCAGGACCAGCCACTGGAAGTCACTGTTGTGCATTCAAAAGAAAAGAGTCACAGAAAGGTTAACCATGTTCACCAAGAGACCCAAAACTAACATTTGAATTTAACAAAAACAAAAATCTAATTTCCAAGTACTTGTTGAATTTGTTGCTGCCTCCTTAAATTTAAACTTAAAAAAGTGTCATTTTATTTGAGGAAAAATGATTCTGGGTTGAAGTGAGATTTAACTTGATAGGTAGAGATTTAGCAAATCTTCTGATCTGACTTTTTATTTCCGTGAAAGTGATTACTTTAACAAGTACTTCCAGATACCCTCTCAATTTCTTTTCCAGGTCTATTTCCTGCTTCTTTTCTGCCTAATCAAAGTTTAATTATCGATTTTCTATTTTTGCCACAGCAAAGGGTGCCATTCTTGGTTTTCCCAATCACTGAAACTTAGTTTTGAGCAAGAATTGTTTGCAATCAAGCACAGGGAAGCAATCACCAGTCCTGGCAATTATATCAATGAGCCTGCCTTGAAAGCACAAGGACCTGAGTTCGATCCCTGGTACCACACACACACACACACACACATTATATCAATGATATCCCCTTCCTCTTCAGACTTCACTCAACCTAGCTTCTGAACCTTATCTAATTCATTCTCTAGACTGTGAAGCCATAGTGAGGTTTCCTTTTTTGCAATGGGGGGAGTGAACCCAGGACCTTGGACCTGCCAGGCAAGCTCTCCACTACTGAGCTAAGTCCCTTTCTAAAATCTGCCTGGTCTCCTAGACTCAGTTCTCATCCATTATAACCAAGTGATACTGGATTTCCTTTTTTTTGGTACTGGGGATCGAACTCAGGACCTCCTGCTTGCCAGGCAGGTGCCTTCTGCGGGACTTCTTTTGATTCCTTTTTCTGTTCTGGAGCTTCACATATCTAAGCCAAGATATGCCTGTTACTGTTTGCCTCTCAGCTTGGTACGCAGGGATTGAACTTGGGTCCTTGTGCTTGCAAGGCAGGCAGTGGAACCACTGAGCTAAACCCCTGGCCCCTATCTCTCAGCTTGTATTGTGCTTCCTGCAGAGAGGTTTCCCTGAACTCTGAATCACTAAGATTATGTAGGTTGTTACTAAAATGTATTTTTCTAGTACCCTGGTCTTCTTTCATTGTATCTGTCACACTATACAGCATGATTCAATTGTCCCCTCTACTAGGCAGTTATCTTTGTGACAACCCGGACTGTACTGTCTCATTGTTTTAGTGGACCCAGTAGCACGCATTAGTCTCACACAAATATCTGAAGAGCAAGTGCATTCGTGAGAGAATAAATACTTAGATGAATAAATGTAATAGTGTATTCTGATTTATTGAAAAGCCCAGAATGAGACTGGGAAATAGAGAGCAACTGCCCCGCACTGTCTCCACAGACTTGTCCTGGGAGACCTTTGCATCGTGGGATGCTGCAGAGGCTGCTAACTGAGGACGGCCAGCTTAGGGTGGTAGAGCGGTCAGACACAAATGCTCAGCATCTGCTCAGAGTTCAGAATTCTGGGTGAAGGAGATCGTGGTGGGGCCAAGATGAGTGGGGCGAGAAGACAGGATCACTTCATCCTCCAAAAATGTCACCTCTACCTGCAGTAAGCCCTTCCTAGTTCTGGGTCAGGAAGGTGACTCTGCCCTCAGAAGGGCGAGGTGACGAGAGACAGGGATCAATATATTCTGATAACCATGAGCAAAAGACATAATGAACCAAAAAATCACAATTTAAACCAATACTCTTCATGCGTAGCTCAGAAACCAAGCTCCACCAATACATCGTCAAAGAAACTTGGGGTCGCGACAAGACACTCACCCTCTAGTTTCTTCGTCACGACTTCTCCCCTTCTGGATTTTAATCCACTGTTCCAACTGCTGCATGGAATTCGTCCTCTGTATGACTCGGTCAGCCTCCGGGTGTGAGGGCCCTGTGTTGGGGTGATTTCCACCTCGCAGGTCTGCCATGCTCACGTTGACTGTTCTGTGCTCTGCACTGTTCACGGTGACTGGTCGGTAGGGTGCAACCTGAGCTGGGCACGTCGACCCACCGTCATATTCGGAGGGCACAGAATTCAACTTGACACTATTAATTTTTGTTAAAGGTCTATCGTGACCATCCTTTTGAAATCCGTATTTTTCAGCTTCTAATGCCTTTTTTTCTTCAAGTTTGCTTATTTCCTTGTTTTTTTGGTTGTTTTGGGCCTCTGGTTTAATTAGCACTCTATGGTTGGGAATGTTATTTGTTTCTTTAGTTGATGCACTTTCAGATGTTATCTTGTCCACTCTGAAAACAGAGGAAAATCACAGTAAATCAAAGGAGCACGCATGTTATATCTTGGATTCAATTCAGGATACAAAGCAACTACGCAAATCAGCGAACAAATCCAGACAGAATCACAGAGGACAAGTCTGCCCAAATCCTCAAAACATTTAAACACACCTCCAAAATGCATATACAGAAAGAGGAAGAAGGAAACACGAGCAAAGCCTACTAGAGGGCAAAAGGGACGTGCGCCCCTGCACTGAAACTATCTGGAAGTAAAGCAAATGAAATTTCTCCGTAACAGAAAACCACGACATCTGCCCTTAAAGGCCGGGACTAGTCATTCCCTGAAATAAAGAGCTGCTCGCTGGGGTCAGTGCATCCTGAGACAGGTATGAGCCTGGCGGGAGACACGGCCGCAGGGGGACATTACCGTGCGGTCTCACATGCAGGAAGACCTAAGTATGGCCTCAGAGTTGTGGAGCCAGGTTACATGTGTGTGTTCAGTGTGCAACTCTCTCTCTCTCTGAGAGCTGTGTTTTTGACAAGGCACAGAAACTTACAGTGCCTCCACTTCCCCTTTGTAAGCGGGCACAACCTCAGCACAAGTCAGCAGGGCCTCTGTGAGAACCAGGTGGGTAATCGTTGGCCGGCACAGCCCCTATCAGCACTACTGTCCAGCTCGTCAAGCAGCGGTGGATTAGAATCTGGCATCCCCAGTCCTTGCCCAACCAAACGAAGCGCTGATGAGCAGTCTGTGCGTGGGCCCCTGACAGTTCACTGCTCACGGTGCCTGCCGCTATACCTAGGACTTCAGATGGGAATCAGCTTTCCCAAGCCAGAGCCAATGATCTCAGGCTCTCAGAAGGTCGAGCTGACTGTGTGAACCTGCAGGAACCTGCCAAGCTCTGTCCCTCAGGAGGCTGCTGAGGAGCCGGCTGGCCGGCCCCTCTCAGCACACAGCGGGGCTCCTATCAGTCCCCAAGAGTGGTACGGACACTGACTTTTCCCATACCAACATCCACATACAAACATCTACATTAGCTGTACGGGAAGAAACAGACTTGTCTACAGATGGTTTGGAATATGCTCACTGAAGGACAACGAAAGGTGACTGCTTTCCTCGGAGTGAGGTGATACACTACGTATCTAGCTAGGTCAGATATAAACCTCAGCCTCCAGATCAGAAACATCAGACACCGCACAAGCCTACCAACACGGCATAAAATTCATAGAAAATTAGCGCATCTATCCTTGCTAAATTCTGGGAGCAGGGCAAAGGCTGTTTAACACTGACTATTAAATATTTTTCCTCCTTTCTTTTGGTGGCACTGTGGCTCAAACTCAAGGAGTCCTGAAATATACCCCTCTATCTGAATAGGGATATATTAACATATTATAATAATTAATATAAATATTTCTGTTTACTTACATATTTTTATGAGGCGATCTCCCTAAGTTGTTCACACTGCCCTCACCTTTTAACCCTCCTGCCTTAGCCCTTCCAGTCCCTGGATTACAGGTGCACACCACCGTGTCTGACAAAAAAATGTAAGCCTATTTCTTGCCAGTCTATGTAAAGTTATTATTGTAAATTAGAACTGCAGTGCCTCTTCCCCCTCTTTTTTCTCCCAATAATTGGATGCTGAAGAAATATAATAGAATAAGACACATATGGTGACTTTTTCTTTAAGTGGAATGAAGTTGACTCAGAAACTTTGCTAAGATAACGTATAATGAAAACTCGTGATCCAATTTTAATCAGTGACATTTAAGTTATAACAGCAAGCCCTGAAAATCAGTGCATCCATTATGGAAAACGGTATAAGGTTCCTCAGAAAACCAGACTGTAGATCTAGCAGCTCCACTTTTGGGAACACACCCCGTGGGATTGAAATCTGTATGGTGAAGGCACTTTTGTGTTCACTGCTCACAACAGCCAAAGCATGGAATCCACCTAGGTGTTCAATGGCAGATGAACAGAGCATGGAGCACGAACACAATGGAGGGTTACACTGGCATCTGCAGCAGTTCAGACGGGCTGGAGATGATTGCAAGGGTGAGCTGGATACACCAGACAGCAAAGGCGAACAGCACACGTCTCACTTCTATGTGGAAGCAAAACAGCTGATTGCCAAGAAGTAGAGACCAGAGCCCAGGTTAGCAGAATGCGGGCAGGGGTGGAGGGGATGGAGGAAAGCACACGGACAGCGGGCCCAGGGCGCAGGTGGACACCAGGAATACCCTCTGCTGTTCAGGAGCACAGACAGAACGAGGGCTGCCAAGCGTTAACTGGCTATGCAAAAGACAGAGGACTCTGAATGTTTCTGACACAGAGGAATGATACCCATCTGAGGGGACAGCTATGCCTGGTCTAGTTGGAAATGTCACATTGCGCCCCATAATAATCACCACATGCTGACTAGAAGTAAAATATAGGATGGATGTGTAGCACAATGATAGGTCACATGCCAGCACACACAAAGTCCTGGGCTGGATTCCCATCGCTGGGCGGGGGTAGGGGAACACACACACACACACACACACACACACACACACAAAATGGGCCTGGAGTTGAAAACTATGCATGAGATGTACACAAGAGGACTATACACTATTTCCAAGGTAAAATAGTTTATGAATTTAGAAGAAATGAACCATGTAAAAACTGGAGGTTTTAATCTCTTATGGGATAGGCCCTGATAAATATCTGACATATTCTGGCCCCACTGCAAAGGGAGTCTGTAATTTTTACAGTCAAGCAAACAAAATTATCTTCCTATTTTAAGCAAATGACAGGAACATAACTAGCTGAAAACTGTTAGGGACACAGAGTCAACTAACTTGGAGATTGTCAGAAGTCAAGCCGAAAGATCGTTACCTTTATCCTCCCAAACTATGGACAATTCCAAGTGTTTAGGACAGTAAATTCAATAAAATAAAGTGGAAATAAGTTGAAATTGAAGAATGCATGATAAACTATTGAAGTTACTTGGAAATAAAATATCTAAGTTTCTAGATTGATTACTGTATTCTAAATAATTCTTTAAAACTTTTAAAGTTAAAATTAGCAAAATATTTCAATTAATTCTTTCACGTACACATTTCCTTCTTGCTCATTCAGGCAAGTTTTATACCCAGAACAACTCCAAAAGTAGATTTCCCTCTTGCTGGCTACTGAGTCCGCACGGGGCTGGGGCTGGGGGTGGAGTTGTGCACATCAGCAGCACAGACTCCACGGCTGGAGGTGCACATGGCTTAGACAGCTTGTTAAAAAAATAGGTATCCTGTACCTCCAACCGGGACCCTTTCCTTCTTTTCTTTACTAGTGATTTGTTAATTTGATTTGGATTTTTACAAATACAGCACAAATGCACAGCATCACCTTCAGTTTTTTAGCCATTAAGTCAAGACTATTACAATACACAAGGAACCAGAATGCCTGGGGCCCTGGGTTTGATCTCCAGCACTAGAAGACAGACAGACAGACAGAGACAGAGACACAGAACAGACACACACGGGGAGTTTAAACTTGTAAGTCAGCATCTTCCTCATGTAACATGTGTACTTAATTAATATCACAGACTAGAAATAAAATTTAGTTGTATCACAAATCTTCCTTCAAATTACAGGACTTTCTTTTATAAAAAAGCATGTTGATTCAACCTCTATTATGCAGTTTGAGAGATCTACTCTGACTAGTTTTAATACAATTGATGAATACTAAAATGATTCATATCTTCAAAGCAGGAGAGATAAAATTAACTCTTAGATCAATTTAACAGCGTATGTCAGTATTATCAGTCAGTGCCGGGCCGAGGGCGTGCGCCACCTTGTCTGGCTACTTGTATTATCAAGGAATCTGAGTAATGGAGTTTTAGAGGAAGGTACAATTCATCAGGAAGTAGACATATTAAGACATAATCCAGCCCAGTGTGGTGGCACACGCCTGTAATCCTAGCACTAGGGGAGGCTGAGGCAGGAGGATCTCCATAAGTTTGAGGTCTGCCTGAGCTATATAGTGAGTTCAAGGGCAGCCTGAACTACATAGCAAGACTCTGTCTCAAAAAACAAAACAAAAGACAATCTAAATGCTTACTGACCTATTTTTTCTGGAGCTTTAAAAAAAACTATCAGAATTAACCAGAAAAATTAAAGAAATGAAACTTCTTCAAATTTCTTATTGTAACTAAATGTCAAAACAGTACTAAAAACACAGTTCACATTATGACAATAAATTCTAAGATCTAGTATCTCTGAAAAAAACCACTAGCTTGAAGGATTAAAATCTCTGTAGCTTTAAGATAACAATTAAAAATGTACTCACCGGAAATTAAAGGTAATTCTGAAAAAAGAAAGAACATCCAGTTTGAATGTTAGGATTCTAAATTCACCCAGTACACTCACAGGTGAAAATGGGTAAAGAGGAAAGGTGAAATAAAAATGCGGGTGGTATTCTAAACTAAAAGCGTATTAATTTAATGTAAAACAAATCAATCCCTGCTTTCTGGGAAAGATGATTTCATGTTATGATTATTAAATGGCAGGTGCTATGATAATGACATACTGGAAAGGCACGGGACAGAATGAGCGGAAATCACTGCTACGCTCCCTACAAGCCGTTACCTTCTCACAGGCTCCGTCTGTACGAGGGCAGCATCTAACATGGCTTTCATCCACAACTCCATTTCCTTTCCTGTATCAGTGCAGAAATAATAGGTCCGCATGTTTGGATGGGCTGCCTGATTAAAAACGACACGATCATTTTACCACAAAAATATGGGATTCTGTAAAAGAAAAAGAAAAAAGATAAGTGGTTCCTTACCTACTATCATGTTTCAAACAGAGATTTGTCTTTATATAAAATACAGAACAGACTAAAAATGCAACTATTGATCCTATAAAAGTACAAAATTATTTGCTTCCTTTCAGTCACGTGCACTTTGAAGTTAAAGTGCTTGGGAATGAAAAGACGCCATCAACGCAGTGCTCAGTGTTGTCGGTCCTGCCTGCACACCTCAAGCAACTCTTGGTTCTTGCGATTCACTCTGGAGTGACGTCCCAGAGCACCCAGCGACAAGATTAATCGGAATGCACATTTACAGCCCTTGCCTCTTGTGTTAGCGATTTTATCAGTCCTTAAAAGGTACTGCTGTTAAGGTATTGTGTAGAAACCTGACAGACATCTATACACAAACACATATTTAGCAACGGTTACAAAAACGGATTTCCTATTAGTTTTCCTCTTAAAGTTCCAGAGTTTAAATGAAACATCTTGGCTTGGGTTGAAGACGAAGGAGTATATAACTGAAAAGTAGGTTTTTCTGTATGTTTCTCTTCAGAGAAACACTAGGGAAACAAAGTACAGGGGACGGCGATGAAGAAACTGCTCAGGGTGTGGGTGCCGAGTGCCCTGTCTTCAGTCCTGGGCTGCCACGCATTCAAAGATGGAGAACAGCAGGAGCTATAGCAGAGTAGGAGAGGAACTCGAGGTCATGAGCAAGGAAGTAAGTCTTGATTTCCCATTTTTTTTTGGAGACAGGATCTCAATACATAGCCCAGCTTGGCCTTAAACTCTCAGTGATCTTCCTGCCTCAGCCTCCCATGTGCTGGGATTACAGGTGTGTGCCACCATGGCCAGCCTCTGACTTCCATTTAAAAATGTCTGCGACAATTTCCATTAGTCATTCAAAGATGATAATAATAAAGGTTATTTCAGCCTAGAGTGAGGTAAAAGGAAGAGTACTAAGCAGATAGTCTGCTAAATATAAAAGAGAAGAATGAATCTGAAACCACACAATTTATTCTAAGATCGGACTATCTGCTTTGTGTCAAAAAAGCTTCTCGAAATCTCTTCTGGGCTACAGATATGTTCCATAGACACAATCATTAAAGTAACTGCATAACCAACAAGTTTTATCTGACTATATCAAGACATAACCAAAGGGAAACAAGTCAAAAACAAAACCAACACAGCATCACTGGATGCTCCAAGTGGAGGTTCAGAAAGAGGCACGGAGACCCTATCCTGTCCGCGATCCGTGGAAGGAACAGTGGATGGGGATAAGAAGACGCAGAGCCACCCACCCCAGCCATCTGTCAAGCAGAAATATTTACTTGACCGCGCCTGGCTCACAGTCCCCACCCCCGCCACTCAGAAGCTGCCCATGAAGCTTCTCCTCACCTTCCGGATGAGCAGTCACATCGGCGTCCACAGACCGGGTAATAAAGCAGCTCAGCAGTTTGGAGCAAGCACCGCAGAGAGAGAACATGAAACAGCAATTACTATTCTTGTTACAGATAAAAGCAAGTGAAAAAAATCTAAATCCATGCACAAAGAGTGTTAATATCGCACAGTTTTATGCGTGTACCTTAGAAGTTACCAGTAGTAAACTCTGTTACAGCACCTCAAAATATTTGTCTTTCTAGTTTACTGCTGTTTGACAAAATATACTTTAGTGTGAAGCTCCTCCCCTCAGCCTCAGGTCTTTGCTCGAACATGACCTTTGTAACAAGGCCATCCACACCCCCCAGGTTTTCCTCCTCTTTCGTCTCCATAGCTACTAATGTAATTATTAATTAACAGAATCTTGCAATATGGAGTTCTGAGAATTCTGTAACAGTGAATGAGAATTAAAATCCTTTGCTGTAAACTCTGCCTGAGTTCTTAACAAAGAACTGACTATAACAAAACAAAATCCCTAGGCGTGGTGGTGCACGCCTGCAGTCACAGCCCTCTGGTGGGGTTAAGGCAGGCGGATCTCGAAAAAGGGACAGGGACGCAGTTCAGTGTGACGGCCCTGGGTTCCATCTCCAGAAAACACAAAAATGAAACGAAACGAAACTATAACAAACTCCACAGTGATAAACAGAGGGGACCAAAAAGCCAAAGTGGCCTCCAATTTTATTTTAGCCATGAATACAGGGAATGCTGCAAAAAACGCAGCATGATTTCTGAAAACCAAATTTACCAATTTAGCATAAAAGTGGCCTCTTACTTGATAGCGAGCCACAAATCAGCAATTTCAGAGATATGCAGGTAAGGCTAGTCATGTGAGCAGATTCAGATCTGCTTGGATTTTACAGTGGTGGGGGTAATGCTTTCATTTCAATATTCTCTGAAAAGCATCTGAAGACCACTGCGTACTTTTACTCAACAATGCCTGCAATCATCCTGTAAGTTCATAAATGCACAGCTATTGAGCTGAAAGACACAGTTGTCTTTTCTAACATTACTCCCATCGATGATGGCAAATGAAAGTACGATACCTTGCAAGGAAAGTGCAAAAGTCACGGGACATTTATAGCTACAGTCATCAGTGATTAGCATGTGCTCTGCTTTATCCAGACCCACTGAAAGCACAGACGCAAAGACATCTGGCCCCTGCATGTTCCCAGCATGCACTCTGTAAAGGGACATTCTCCCATAAAAACCAACACATTTAAACCAGAAAGGGGTCACTGACTGAAAATATCTTTGTGTGATCCATCTATGGTACAATCTCTTTTCCAGTCATGTGAATTTCAAACACCGAGTAAAATGGCGAGAGGATTTCTTTACCTTGAAAGCATACTTGCGATTAATATGGTCCTCGGAGGTGAGCAGCGCGATCTGAAAGCTGGGCAAGAGAATGCTCCCCAGGATGCCCTCTTCCTTCTCATCTAGGAGGGGATTCAGCAAACGATTAGAATTTTCATGTTCTCATGAAGCGGAACAGATTTTCTCAGAATCTGTTTGGATCAAATTAAATGGTTCTTCTATACAACTGAACTGTATTTATTGCTAGGTAGGCCTTTTAAAGATTTTTACGTGAAAATATCAAATGGAGATTTCTTTGCTTCCAGTGAGATTCCCTATTCTAAGCAAATAAAATCCTGGAAGGACAATGCCACTTAGACAGAAAGGTCACACCTTCTCTGGTTTATGTGCTGCATTATACAAAGTTCTTTTATATGAGATTGACTGAAAATATATTAGGATATATATAAGTAATGGTGTACAAACTCTAACGTGTAACTTTGTTTTAGAGTCATAAGACAAATTAACAAGGCTGTACTTAAGGCTGATGAACACACCAATGACAAAAACTGTAACAGGAATTGAACTATTTTTAGTATGCTTGCTGGGTTTTAAAAAATTTATCACAAACTTAACAGATTTTATTTATTTCCTCATTTGTAAAATATATGACGAAAATTCCAAAAGGGAAAGAGGTGTATTAAATAGAGGTTATTTCTATAGTTTTTCTCATAACAAAACAAAATTTTGCTTTTACTATATTGTGCTCATTAAAGTACACTTCAGTAACAGAAAAAATAATGAACAAAGTACATATTCATCCTTAATGGCAAAAAAAGTTGGAAAGCAGTTATCAATTATGGAGAATTTAACAATTTGAAAGAATGTCAAATTCTAATTGAGTCCAATTTTGTTTACATGAAAGCTATAATTAGAAACAGCTTAAGAAGTCATCTTTAATAAAAATCATTTTGATCAAATATCTTCTACTATATCCAAAAGGTGCTCAGAATAAGCAGCAGTGTTCCAAGAAGGTGATCTCCTTGGATTACTTGGAATGTTTCACAGTCCGACACTTAACTAGCTGAGATCTTGGGCACAGTATGAATGCTTAGTACACCAGTTTCATCATGTATAAAACTGGTGATAACAGGACTTAAAAGACTTGTAAGGGTTAAATGAGTTAAGAACTCAGGACACAGTTACATGTTAAATGTAGTGGTACCCTGGTTTATGACCTCTTCTCCCCACATCCGTGGTTGCTAACCAAACTGGATGAGAACTGAGTCAAATGTCCCCATTAGGTCAACACTGAATCTAACCACTGAATTTGATTCAGCTCTCGTCCAACTCAGTGACCAGATCATGGAAAGAATCAAGTTCATGAACCAAGAAATGATGCGCCATTATATAAAAAATTAAACACAACTACCAATGTATATAAAATCTTCATCTTCTATCATTGGCCAGCCTAAGAGGTTTTCGTTAGAGTTTTAAACGCTCATCATAACATTATTCTGATAGCGCTATCTTAATCCTATCCTAAGTACTGTCCTACTTTCTACCACCCAAATCCTCACACACTACCAAACAACGTTCATAGTGGAAAAACTTGCCACGGGTTGGGTGAGACCTTCTGGGAATGGGGGTGGGCGAGGTGCTGGGGTCTGAACCCAGGTCTCCGTGCCAGTGCTCTTCTACTGAGACTCAGCATCACCCTGGCTGAGACCATCCTTCTTCCTGCTCTTTCCTGCCACAGCCAAGAACACCACCCCATGGGCCTTGTACATGTGAATCCCTGAGTGTTTGCTAGGAAATGCAACCCAGGACAGGAGCCATAAGAATCTCAACATTTTACTGGGTTCAAGTGACACTTCCGATTCCTTATTTCTACTTCAAAGATGTTTGGACGAAAGATAAAAAACTGCAGCTGGGTAAATATGTTATTACTGATTATCATTTCCAATCTGGAATGCTTAGTTTGTTACCTAGTCTCTTTTCTTCTAGGTGAAGTGTCAGAATGTCTCTTTTCTAAAATATATATATGCCTGACCCTACACATCCGATCCCACTGTTAGTCTTGCATTCAAGAAAGAATTTCATTCCTTACAATGACAAACAAATGCCCTTTGTTACTCTGATCTAACCTTTAACTATGTTTTTCTTTATCCTCTAGGGATTGAACCCAGGACCTCTACACTGTGGTACAACCCCAGCCTCCTTTCACAGGACAAAATCAGCTTTCCCCGGGCATGCCTCCAAACAAACAAACAAACAAACAAACAAACATTTCTGATAGCACACTTTGCATGTCAGGCACCTTGGGAGAAAGAGAAGAAATGAATGGCTGTTGTCCTGAGCATACAAGAAGAGAATACCTAGGATGCGAGGGCAAAAACTTGTGATTAACAGGATTGGGCCTGATGCTAAAATGCCTGCTTCAGATCCCTGCTCTGCTGCTTGTCCAAGGCCCGAGCCACGCTACCTGACCTCTGCCGTCAGTTCTGTCTGCGCACCACGAACGTGCTGTGCTGTGACACCAAACAGACCACCTGTTACTGTGGTCAGCGTGGTGCCCGACACAGGAAGTGTGCTGAAAATGCAAGCTGGTGTGACCGTCTCAAAAAGGCCCAGCAGCTTTTCCCTAGATTCTGGTATCTGCTGCTGAGGCGGTCTTAATGTCACTCCGGCATTTTGGGGGGCTAAGGAGCAGACCTGTGAGTTGGAGCCCAGTCGGGAGCACAGTGGACCCTGTCTCCAAACAAACAAACAAACAAACAAGAAAAGAAACTGAAAATTTAAAGATGTTTATCATGCTTTTAATGAACTAAACAGGAGATGTGAGTTAAGTAATACTTTTCCTTTCTATATTTTTTCCTTTGTATACTCCTCCTAACTGGGAAACTAAGATTAATAAATCCTAGGCTACATAGCAAGTTCAAGGACAGCCTCAGCTATGCAGCGATATTCTGTCTCAAAACAAAAACAAAACAAAATTCGTATTATGAATTTAAAAAATCAGAAAGAGCAAACATTTTCTTGTTTGATTTATTTATTTATTTATTTTTGAGACAGGGTCTCGCTATGTAGTTGAGACTGACCTGAACTCACTGTGTAGTCCAGGCTGGTCTTGAACTTGCAGTGGTCCTCCTGCCTCAGCCACCCGTGTGCTGGGATTACAGGCGTACAGCACCACCATGCCCCAGCCACATTTTCTTGTTTTAAACTGTGTCTATAAATGTGCTGATGAAGAGGAAAGTACAATTACAGGCTCAGGGATAATGCCTGAGCGACAACTCCTGACTTTCTCAAAGATTGGGAAAACTTTTAGGGAAAATTATAGAGTAAATCTGGCATTCAACTAAAGATAATACCACATTTGATGCCTGACCAACATCTCTATGACAAATACAATTTTATAGGTTTGGTTTATTCTGACTCCGCAGTACTTCTAAACCATAGTTTGCTGGAGAGTAAAATAATAGGAATAATTCCAGCATTTCCAAATTGTACAGGGCAACGTTTTACATTACTTCTATAGATGACCACAGAATTTTGCCACGCATCTTTTGTATAACTGAAAACTAAATTTTAGTATGGTCTGCAAACATGTACTAATAAAAACAGAAACTCAAAAATTAAATTTTAAAATTGTTCATTGGTTTCAAATCCTGTTATATTTTGTGATTCATATTTTTAAAAGTCATAAATTATTGATTATGAGTTGACAATCTAATTCTTTAGTGACAGTTTCCAACCAGATTGTTTTTTAAAATTAATTAATTAATTAATTTAGAGACAGAGTCTCACTATGTAGTTGAGGCTGACCTGGAACTCACTATGTAGCCCAGGCTGGTCTCAAACTCGAAGCAATCCTCCTGCCTCAGCCTCCTGAGTGCTGGGATTACAGGAGTGTGCCACCAGGCCCAGCCCAACCAGATTTTAAAGGAGGCAAGGAGAGATGGCTCAGATTCATGGTTCCATGTCCCAGCCAGAGCAGATTTTGATGAGCCGCTGCCTAGGATTTCGCTAGCAGATGCCCACTTGTGTTAACTGAGAAATCTTTGTCACACAGTCTTTTCTGGACTTTCATTTAAAATGGTGTTAATCAGTCTAGCGCAGTGGCACGGGCCTGCACTCTGGGAGGCAGAGATACTTGAGCCCAGGAGTGGCACCTTAGTGAGACCCCATCTCTTAAAGGCATTTCTGCTATCCGTGCAGGAGACTGAAGACTATTCTTCCATGCCCAAGAAGATACCTGCACCCTCCTCCTGCCAACATTAACAGTGTGGTGGGCGTCTCTCAAACGACTTTCTCCATGTTTCAGGGAGAAGGTCATCAATAGTCATACAGAAAGAAAGTTTAAAATAAATGTAATTTAAAAAATGTAAATTTTGTTATTTATGTTTTACTCATTCCTGATACTCTCACTCATTTGCTGGGGAGCAGAACTGGGTGTTCAGCGGAGCCACAGCTACACATGACAAAGCTGACAGCCAAAAAGAACCTCATCAAACTAAGGCTCATATACGTTGGCCACTGCATTCAAAGACAGAATAATAGAGTGAAGATTCGTATGTTCTACATGCAAAACAAACCAGTGTACAGGAACTAGACCAAATCCCAGACTAATTTGTCTAATTTCATACCTCAATAACTTGGAATCATAGGTCAAAGAAGAATCAGAGGTCTTGGCATTATTTGTTAATAAAACAGCATAAGCGGGTAAGTTTTTCTTTAAACCAGTATACAATACGTGCCATATGCTGTGATTACAAAATAATGCAGAGAGTTTCCGGTATACTCACCTCTATAATAGAAGAGGCAAAGGTCAGAAAGCACGAACCAGCGTTTCTTCCACAGTTTCATGCCAGTGCTGTCCTGTGTTCATAGTTAAAGATATTTCTCATTTCAGATGATTAAAACCCATTTTCATGTAAAGCAAGCTTTTAAAACAAGATGTCTTTGTATGTGTATAACATAGCCTACCTAAAAGGTCAATCCAAATTTTAGGCTACAAAGTTTCAGTTAGAAAGAAGAAATAAAATTCTGGTGTTCTGCTGCAAAGGACAAGGGACTACGAATACTAACACACGGTATACTTCCAAAAAGCTAGAAGAAAAAGCTCTGAGTGTTTTCACTGCAGAGAAATGATACAGCATTTGAAGAGATAGCTGTTTCCCATTCTGAACATCACACAATGTTTGCATGTGTAGAAATGTTATACGGCACCCATAAATATATGTAATTTTTAATGTGTCGATCGAAGACAATTTAGCGGCAGTTTCTAAGGCCACGCATTGAAATGCTCCCAGGAAGACTGATTATGAAGGGCAATAATGTCATGTAAAAGGAATATGCTGAAGAGGGCTGACTGTGCTTCATGTTTGTGAGCGATCTGGAGTTTATCCCCTATACACACAGGCCTGCCAGGATGGCAGCACTGGAGCCAGCAGCAGCCTGAGCAAGCTGGGAAGCTGGACTTTACAAATATGTTTGTCTCCAGCAAGACCCAAAATGAACTGAAAGGATTCCAAAGGTATGATGGTTTAAAATGACCACGCAAAAAGAAACCCAAGTGCACAAACTCATTTCATAAACACTTTTTCCTTTTGTCTACAGTTTGGGTAGGTCTTGCTCAGGCTGCAGAAAACACTGCTTATTTGGTGGTGAGTTCTAAGTAATTTAGTTCATAAAAGTATGAAGCTTAAAATTAGAATTTTAACACAAATTACTTTCCTCCATGCAGTAAGGCAAAACCACAAGAGAAAATTAAACAGACACTCCAACATGTAAAATTGAGGCCAGTTTGGATGAGCACTGATTAATATTTCTTAATTTATTTCTAGTTGTGATAATCACCTACTGTGGCTTTAGGACATCTGAAATTAATGTGGGTAAAAACAATCCCTGAATGTAAAAGATCTGTCCTTAAAATTATAGCTTCCTTGGTCCAGAAGGAAGGGACTAAAACAAAACAAAATGGAATGAAATGATATATGGTGTTTTTAGTTCCTCTGAGTTATAATTACATATTTAAAAAATAATATGTAAGTTATAAAATAAACCCTTAAGCTAGAGAGACTAGTTCACAACACATAATACTATATTAGCCAAGGGTTCAAGAATGGGCCTGGACTATATATATATATATATATTCAAAACCCTGTCTCAAAAAACCAAACCCTCTCCCTCCTTAAAAAAAAAGAAAAGAAAAAGAAAAAAGAAAAACATCAATTAAAAAGAAGAATTGCTTTTATTTTATTTTGTTTTTTCCAGTACCAGGGATCGAACTCAGGACACCAGGCATTTGTGAGGCAGGTGCAGTGCTACTGAGCTACATCCCTGGCTCTAAGAACTGCTTTTAAAAAGGAGCCGTCACAGTTAATTAAACTCAGAATTATACTTAACTATATGAACATTTTCGATTACTAAAAGACTAGTTAAAAATGACTGTACAGATTCTTCTCATAAACTAAACTTGCAAAAATCTTTTAGCTTGGGTAAATTAAAACAGTTAAAATAGAACAATAATTTTAAAATAAAAATCTGTCCAAGGTACAAATCCAATCCACTAAGTGAGAAACTGTTAAAATTAATTTACTTTGGGAATTCTCTGGATTTTAAGACGGTCTTCTTCGAATACATTAGTTTAGCAGACACCCCACCTCCAGGTGAAACAATCTTTAATAAATATTCTATAGCAAATTCATTGAGTTTCATTGAATTAAAATAATTAGGTCAGTTGAAAGCAATCAGCAGTATTTAACAGACTAGACTGGCATGATCAATGCATTTATCTCTATTTCTAGATTACATTTGGTACCTGCACATTTTTATGGGCTGCAGTGTGACATCCCAATACATGTATGCAGCGAACATGAGCGCAGCAGAGTAACTGGTGCATCTATTGCTTCAGACGTGTACCACTTAGTAAGCTAATGTTTACCTGCTTTGCGTTATCTGTAGACATGTACAGTCCGAGAGAACAAAGACTAGGCCTTGAATGTTAAGCATATCTCAGTTACATGGCAGTCGCTTATCTGATACCCAGCTTTAAACGGGAAAGTAAACAATCTCAAAGCAATGAAAAGGATGCCAAAGTCCAAGGGGATAAGGTAATGTACATGCATGTCCACTAATTCCAAAACTAACGGCAAGCTTCCAAAAGAGCAGTTATCAAGCTTCCCAGATAGTAAAATACAAACCCTAGCTATCAAGGTGTCTGACAGTGAACCATGTTTGAGCAAATGAGAAAAAAAAAAAAAAAAAAAAAAAAAAAAAAAAAAAAAAAAAAAAAAA